TTCCCATGCTACTATTTGAGAACACCAAGAGAGGAGAGCACCGGATACAAATAAATAATGCTTAGTAATCACTAAGCACTTGGAAACTTCAAAAAGGCAGGTACAGGAGGGAAAGGGACAGCTCAGCAGGCTTTATAAAAGGGCCATAACAGGAACAATGTCATTTCAATTCAATACAGTCCCCCAAGACTTCCTTTTCTCTCAATTCTTAGAATATTAAGATGTTCTTTTAATTTTTTAGTCAGCAGTTACTACAAATATTTGCCACCTCTCATCAGTGATATCCAAAGAATATCTAAAGGCAAAAGTTTATAGGGATATGGGCTTAATTCTAGATAATTCAATCAAGTAATGAATAAATTGTCCCCTTTGAAGGAGATCAGTCCAATAAAAATGATAATTTTTGGCTGGTATAGAACACACAAAAATGGGTCCCATTTAATGATCATTAAAACCATTTTAACATTTGTAAAAATATTAAGTTCAAGAATCTTAAATGAAATAATTACTAATAGTACTTATGTTCACTTTGGGAGATTCAGTGTAAATAATAATTTATAATGAAATCAACCTTCTCAATTGTTTTACTATTAAACAGAATAAAGACTAATCAACTCATATTGAAATGTTATATACAAATAATAGTAAATGGTGAAAATTTTTCAAGATGAAGCTTTACAACAAAAAGAAGGGATAACCTGATACTTCCAATAGAAACATTTAATAAATAATGTAATAAAATTCTAAGGTGTAGGTGCCAGGGAATAAGAGAGAGTTGATGAAATGAGGGTGTTTTATTGGTAGTTGTCTCTTCAGTTATTTGAAGTTTTGCACTGGAAGTCTAAAAATTTGTGGGTGAGTATACACAATAGCAGTAAATATGGGCCATTTATAAGAGCAAGGTAAGACATCAAATGAAAATGCTGAAGTTACAGTCTTCAGGCTGGTGCAGAATATATATCACTTTTCAACTGTCCAATAAAAAAAAATCGAAAATGTTAGAGCTACAGACTAAAACACAAAGTGCTGAGTCATTCTACATTTGCCTTGTTCTAGAAACAATGTCTCCTAAATGAAATAGGATTCTTTTTGTCCCTCTGCACATCAAAATAGCTAAAATAAATACTTTATTTTAAGATAAATATTTCTATAAAAACATGTTTAATTCTTTTTAATGATCAAATTCAGCACAATAGTTCAGCTTTGGGAAACAGGGGGGGTGTAGTAGCTATTATCAACACTTGAAAGCTCCGGTTCATAGAATTACAATTTAAACTCCTATGATTTCAGTTTTTACTTGGGAAAAAAAGTGTATTTATAAATTTCCTGCTCTTGACTTCAAAGGATCCTGAAAAATTAAAAATACTAAAATTAAATAGCCACTGCACAGACCTAACCTTACCTGGAGTGAAAGTGATGTGCAGGTATGACCACCTCTCAAGTACCCTGACATTGTGCTCACTGGGTGCTCACTGGATTGTACGGCACAGTCCATGAGGCCTCATGGTACCTGCCAGTACTCAGTCTTCTACTGAGACGGACAGCCAAATATATCTCTAGTAAAAAACATGTGCCCATACTCTGGAGATGGAGAAATGGACCAGAGATAGATGTAGGAGCTGAGAGCAGCCCAACAGGGAAGCCCAAATATGAAGGTATTTACCTATTTTAATCTGATCCTTCTTCCCTGAAGAGGTCTTTTGGGTATCTGGCAGCATGTCCACTTACTGCATTATGATGTGAAGTATTATAATAAGGAGGAGAAGTTGCTGAGGCCTCCTTCTCCACCACAATAGAGGAATTGCCAAGACTGGTGACTCTGCTGTAGCCAGGGCAGGTGTGGTCTTACTGGACCAGACTGAGCAACCACTAAAACCTGGCATATAGCTAACACTCTAGCTCATGAATATCTCTGTTACTGTCTACACAGACCAGTAGATGGAATTTCTTTTCAAATGGTAAGAAAATTAATGTACTCTATGGTCTGTCCTTGGGGATCTCTTTCTAGCTTCTCTCTCTTTATGCCATAAGCTGCAAGAGCCCTGGTCTGTCTCACCTTCCCCAAAGCAGTCAGTTACACGCTGGTCTCCTTATAGTGATGCTCATAATGCTCATGAGCTCTGGAGAATAGGAAATGGAAAGGACCCTTCCTGTATATCTTGGTAAGACAAATGCTTCACAGGGCAGCAGTTATCCTTGAACACAGTGTCAGTTACTTCAAAGTCCCTAGCTGCCCAGAGGTCCAGGGCAAGGCCTGTGCCAAATGCAACTGTCTGCCGGTTTCTGTGAGTAAAGTTTTGTTGTCATCCAGCCATGTCCATTTGTTTATGTACTGTTTATGGCTGATTTCCTGCTGTAGCATCAGAGCTGAACAGTTACAGCAGAGACTAGTATACAAAGCTCAAAATATTCATTATCTGCTCCTTCACAGAGAAAGTTTGCCAAGTCCTGATTATTGCATGTTGGTATATACATATAACCCTTTGGAAATGAAGGATAGCTTGCCTGCCCCAAGAATCTCCTACATATTATAGATGACACATATCCTATATTTGGGTGTCCTACTTTTACGCTTTTACTGGGTAAACCCAAAAGCCGCCAACTGCCAATAAAACTTAGAGCAGGAGAACACTCAGTAAGTAGGATGGGCTCAGTGGCATGACTCAGCTGCTCAGGCTACACTGTGACCCTGGGGCACCAGGATGCTGCATATAGCTTGAGGCATGCCCCGGGATGGTCGCAGAGCATGGCCCTGGGATTCTGGAGCAAGGCCAACCTACTAAACAGGTGCCATTTTCTCAGTCACAGCTCTGGCTGACCACTAGGCTCCAACAGATAGTGAATGCCTGACACCCAAGCAACCCAAGTGATCACATCATTAATCCTTTTTGAAGTTTCACCTGATCTACCAAATTATACATAGCATGCTTTTAACCAATAATCTGATATATAAAAATAAGACTGGGTTTATTGAGGTCCCAAAGGCATAGAATACCTGAACGGCTTAATCACAACCTTTACCCAGTAGGCTTTTCCCCTCAACCAGGGTTGTCTTCACTGAGGCAGTCCCTATAATCAGGTGATAAATTTGAGACCTGAGCTTGGTTCATTTGTGATAGTTCTAGTCACAAGGTCACCACTACAGCATTACAGCCCCTGTAGGGACAGTGCTGAAAAACTGTATGGAAGAACACCTTCTGATTTGGCAAAATTTCAAGCAGTTCCTTTCACTGTCAATTACACTGTCTTAGGATGGAAAGCCTTTGGCCAGTGTTGTATCAGTTCTTAGACAGTGGCTAATGGTTAACCAAACGGGATGTAGACTTGAAATAGCAAGGATGGAAGACTGCTGATGAGGAGAACTGAGGAAAGATAAAGTAGATGGCCAGCCAGAAAGGACGCAAATTTGTGTCCAATATGAATTCTTTCCTGAGTACCCACAACTACAGTGAGGTATCTCAGTCATCATGTGGACAGGGCTGCATCTATACCTTCCCTCCCCAATCTGACACTTGCTCAGTGGCCTTATGAGTGACCACCCTGGCAGTGACAGAGGCTTGAACCAGCCAGTGACTAAGGAAGCTAATGAACAACCCCACCCTAAAGTCAGTGTGAATGTCCACACTGGCCAGTGCCCACTCTGTCAGCAGTACTAGCCAATTGTGAGGCCTTGATCTGCAATCTGCACCATGCCTTGAGGGAATTAGTTAGTACCAGGCTCACTACACAGGGACCTTTCCATTGTTGAAGGGACAATACCCTACCCTCACTGGAACTGATACTCCGGATTTGGATTGGCCTTTGTGGTCTTTTGCACTCTTAACGTCATCACCACATGTGTTTTTTTTAAATTCCTTGTATGTCACCACTACAGTAATATACAAAATGCCTCCAAGGACCCACTTCAGTGAGAAAGATCAGACAATTACCCTGATGTCAACAGGATGCCCTGGATTCCTCAGGTGTCTATCATCAACCAAAAACAGGCCTACGAAATGATGAAAGAGACCCTTATGTGCTTAAACTCAAACCAGTTATGAACTTGCAGGTTGGAATGCTATCTTTTAGGATTGTGGTATTTGTTCTGTCCCAGCAGTACATGTACTATCAGCAAAATACTGTATTATCTTCCCCCACAGCCAAAAAAAACACAGGTCTAAGCAATAAGCGGTAGAAATATGAGTGGACTCTATTAAGGTGGTAATTAATAATCTGTTTAAAAAACTGTGTCCTGAGCCCTGGCTGGTGTGGTTTAGTTGACTGGGCATCATCCTGCAAACTGAAAGGTTGCTGGTTATATTCCCGATCAGGGCCCATGTCTGGGTTGTGGGCCAGGTCCCCAGCTGTGGGCGTGTGAGAGGCAACAGATCCATGTTTCTCTCCCTTTCTTTCTCCCTCCCTTCCCCTTTCTCTAAAAATAAAGAAATCTTTTTAAAAAATTGTGTCCCTAGAACTATGACTTAGGCTCTGCTGGCCCAAATGATGTAATGTGTACTGGAAAACACATTAAAATTGGTGATCATTTTTAGATGGTGGGATTAAAGGCAATTTTGTCTTTCTTCATGATAGTTTGGTTTTCCAAAAATGTTTAAAATGACTGTATCATTTTATATGAAAACACAATTACTAAACTAAAAAAACCACACATACATAGAGCTCCATAAGCAGATTTTCACTGAAAATGGCACATAACAGAAATAAGGACTTGTGATGAAAGGAAGGCGCTGCTAACACAATGAGGTTAAGACAGGAGAACTAGTTTTCCATTTTCTTTTTAGTGGTTACTGTGCAGCACTCCAGAGCAATTATGGAAACATCTGAAATGTGACTGAGTCCCAATTTCCTAATGTGTAAAATGAAGATAACTATATATCTCATAAGGTATGTGAAAGAACATCATAAACAGTAACATCTCTACAGACATGAGTTATTACTACTGGTGGCAGATAGAGGCTTATGTGCTTAAAGCTTTCAGACAGAAAACAAGAAAAATTAGTTACCTTTGGGTTAAAGTATCTACAAGACTGTGGCTGAGAGCCTCCAAATAGGGCTATGCGGTAGTCATGTTTCTTCCTTCTGGGCCTTGTGCCTTCCACCAGTTCTTCTCGATCCTCTGGAGACAGGAGATGATACCTCATTCCACCTGTAGAAAAATACATGGTAATGCTTTAAGAACTTCAGGTACTTGAATGCTTGGGAGTAGACAAACACTCACACATAACAGTGCTTTTATTTGTGAAAACTGTTTTTTCCATCATCCCTCTATTGCATTTAAGGAAAGAGTGAGGGAGAAGAGGCAGGAGGATCTGAGTTCTAACCAATTCATTATTCTCAGCAATTACCATTATGCTGATTGCCCACCAACTTACTATCTACCAGTGAACTGTCTGCCTCTTCCAACAATAGCTGCCAAAATAACTACTGAAATTCAGATCTCCTAACCAGTGGTTCTCAATCTTAAATGTACATTAGAAATCATGTAGGAAATCTCTGAAGCCAAGCCTGGCTCATATCACAGGCTAATCAGATGAGAATACCTGGGGGTAAGGCCTCAGCAGTGGTATTGCCACTTAAAATGTGGTTCAAAGACCAGTTTAGAACTGAATTCTAGCACTTACCCTAAACCTACTGAATCAGAATCTGCATTTTAAACAAAGTATCAAAGTAATTCAGCCCTGGCTGGTATAGCTCAGTGGATTGAGCACAGGCCTGTGAACCAGAGGATTACAGTCTGATTCCCAGTCAGTGCATATCAGGCCAGTTCCCAGCAGGGGATGCACGAAAGGCAACCATACATTGATGTTTATCTCCCTCTCTCCTTCCCATCTTAAAGATAAATAAAGATAAATAAATAGATAAAAATCTTAAAAAAAAGTAATTCAGATGCACATAAGATTTTTGAGAAGTATTGCCTTAGCTGATTCTAAAGCACAGTGAGGATTCAGAACTCTTGTAATCTAACACGATCCTTTATGATTTTGTCAAGGGCCACTTAACAAACTTTCCAGGTTTCATTTTAGGTCACTGTGGGGAAGTAGACTGTTCAAGAAATGATGGTAGACAATGACATGGAGAACAAATTTGTCCCCCCACCTCATATCTACTCTAGAGTAAATTTAAAATCAATAGAATATTTGAATATGCAAAAAATCTCATAAATATACTAAAAAATAGGGAGTTTTTTATACTAAAAAAAAAAAATTAGGCCCAGGATGGGGAAGCCTAAGAATAGCCAAAAAAAATACCCCCCAAAACAAACAAACAAACCCACAGGAGACATGAAAAAAAATCAGACTTAACTACAGAAGATGTTAAATGATAGCATGGCAAAAAAAAAAAAAGACAATGGCAAACTAGACATTTATAAATCATGTAAAAGGCAAACATAAAAAGATACCCTATTAATAAGATTAAGACCAGCAACAGAAAACCAGATTCAGTATCTGAACACAGCTCACAGAAAACGGACTACCTATAAACAATTCTCCAACACATGAAAAGATGCTCAAGTGAGAGAGATACAAATTAAAATAATATTTTTTCACTTAGGAGACTGGCCAAGATCCAACTATCTGGAACACAGAGGGAAGTGTAGGGAAGCGGCACCCCATCCATCGCTGGTGGGGATGTGGATGGGTACAAACTACTGAGGGTAGTACAGTGTGACCCCGAAAATCACAAATGCACACACCCTTGAGCCAGTAATCCCCCTTCTAGGAGTCTACCAGCCTGAAGTTCACTGTCAGGGAAATGGTTAAAAATGATTGTATACCTATACAATGGAATATGATTGTGGCTGTTAGGCAGAATGAGGAAGGGTAAAGATGCAGACATGGAATGTGTCCAAGAAGTAATGTGGAATGCAAAAAAAGGAGGATGTAGAAGAGTGTACAGTGTGATACCATTTGTGCTTAAAAATTTACCTTTTATACAAATATATACTTATTCATATATTTGATTTATATAAGCCTATGTAAGTAAACGACTGTATATGCGCAGACTCAAGACCACCTTTGGAAGGACACATAAAGTGATAATGGTAACCTCCATATTAAGGGGGTGGAGGGTAGGGGGCAAGGTTATCAGAGAGACCTACTTTTCTCTATATACCTTTTTATACTTTTTGACATGTAGATGATGTACAGTGTTATTGATCCAAAAAATAAAATAAGGTAAATGATTCCCAACCCAGGCAAAACACTGATGTTCATGAGATTGTGTTGGGCCTTATAATTGGGAGAAGACCGGTGTAGAGAAGAGTTTGTGAGTGGATACAAATCAGTATCAATATCTGGCATTTCCTTCCATTTCAGAGTTTGAGTGGAAGCACTTGGCATTAGAACAGCAGAAATCTCAGGGGCGAAGGCTCTGGGGCACGCTCGAGGTCGGGGTCTACAGTCTTTTCCTGCAAGCCCTGGCTGGTGTAGCTCAGTGGGTCAAGCGCGGGCCTGCGGACCACACACACATACAATCTTTTCCTGCAAAGGTCCAGAGAGTAAATATTTTAGGCTCTGCAGATCACATATTGTTTTTGTCTCATATCCTTTATTTGTTTTTTACAGTTCTTTACAAATGTAAAAACCACTCTTAGGCTCAAGACTGGATTTAATCCATGGAGTGTAGTTTGCTGACCTCACTGCCACCCCTTCTGCTCCGTCTAAGACAGTGGTTCTTAAAGTGTGTTTCCCTGGAACATGTTAGAAATCCAAATTATTTAACACTACCCCAGACCTTCCAAATCAGAAACACTGGAGTTTGAGGGTCACTGCTCTCGAAGGGCTCCACACAGGTCACAGGTACACTTTGAAATCTACGGATAGAATCTCCCAACAGGGTAAGACAGGTAGTGGGGAAAGAAAGACAGGAGGCCACTGGGCCAAGTGGCTGACTATGGCCAACTGCATTGACCCCTGAAGGAAGCAGGAACTTGGGCTCCTTCATTGACAGGCCTTTCTCCCCCAGGACAGGGACGGGACAAGCACTCTGGCCCACTTCCCTGAGGAACGTCTTGCTCCTTAGGACTGTTCCTTTGGGAGGGGGTCCCTGTGAGGGTGCGGTCTTGTCGTTTGCAAATTCTGAGTTAAGAACTTGGTTTGGCCCTTTGTGGTGACTGTGTGTTCTTCATTTTTATAACTAATTTCCTTTTAGTTGTAAATTCTTTTAGTTCAGTTTTAGTCTGTTTTCTGTTTTTCTCCCAGTCTCAAAGGCAGCACAGTCAGGTGGCAGGAAGGTAACCGATGACCTGAAGATGGGAGACTGGAGGCCTTCCTTTCCCCGGGAAGCTCTGCCCAGGCTCCCGAGTCTGAAGGTCTCTGCTGCTTGTGCTGAGCCAAGAAATTTTAGGACTCACTGTTCTCTATTAAAATAAATAAATCAATAAATCAAAATATGTACTAAACAACAAGACCTCAAGAATCTAATCTCCACACTTGGTTGAATTTCTGGAATGGTCCTGCTATCTTTTTCTAAATCAATTCAGAATCCACATAAGAATAAATACTATACTTGACCGAGAATGGCCAGTTTTCCTCAACCATGTATGAAGAAAAAAGTGCAGCACTCTACCCAATGGAATGCTAAGCCCAGAAATATAACACAATTTGAGAATGAGGTATGGCAAAAAACCCAGTACTAACATGCGTAAAATCCAAAGATGAAAAGCCCTAATATAGAACCATCTACTTAGTCCAAATCTTTCATCTCTCTTCATTTAAGAGACTAGAGGCTACCTATGTCCTGCTTTTTATAACGCTACACCATGGTTTACAAGCCCCCAGCCTTTGGTTCCAGTAGCTTAGGGAATGCTTCTCTCCTGGCTCTTACCCTCCTCCTCTCACCTGCAGGTGCTAACAGCGTTGTGTCCCCGAGTCACCCCTTTCCCCTGACACCTGAACTGGATTCAAATATCCAAGTCTTTAAAAATTTTATTTTAATTTAATAGAAAGGTATTATACCATACACTGCTTCTGTTTTATGCTTTTGTCACTTATAAAAATTTTCCATATTATTCATCTACAATGTTTTTCACTAGGTATAAAGCATTCCATTATATAGTTATATAATACTTTTCCAATCTGGGTGACAACTTACCTAAAACCACAACAATATTATTAAGTAAGAGCTACATGATGAGTCTGAGGGAAATTTTTCTTAACTTCCAAATGAAGGGAGAAAAGTGATACCACCTAGTAATTAGGATACTCAAACGTCTCACCAGTCTTCAGAAGAATGAGTTAGGCAGGAGTCAAAGTGCTCATTTCTCTTATTTCTGTAGCTTTGTACCTGATACTAGCTATACCTTAAATAAAATGCCCAAATGAGATACTAATAACAAGGTAAGGTTCAAGGTAGGTTCCAGCTACCTTCTAGAAGATGCTTTCTTGCTCATTACCCACAGGCATACTTCAGAGGTACTATAGGTTCAGTGTCAGACCACTGCGATAAAGCAAGTATTGCAATAAGGCCAGTCATAATCTTTTCACTGGGAGAGGGTCTTGCCATCAATTTGTAAAAAGTGCAACATCCATGAAGCACAATAAGAAAAGTGAAGCATAATAAAACATAGTATGCCTGTATTAACTGGAATCTATACTGCTGTCCCATTTGTAAGACACTGTCCACGAGGTTTTTGGTTTGATTAATTAGGAAGAGTAGGAATTCAAGAAGAGCCTGAGAGTGTTAGGGGGCGCATCCTAACTCAGCATATCACCATCATTACACGGCATATTTTGTGCCTGTTTAAAGAGTGAGCTGCATTTCCACTGATAGCAGTATGGCAGTTTAGGCTTTTGGAAATACTTTCTTACTGCAAAATAACTATAATGCTGGAAAGAATAAAAATACATTTTTAAAAATGCATAGCTAAGGTCAAAGGGCCAGACATGAAGAGGGAACTAAACACCAGAATGGTAAGAGATGCTGGAGCTACTCTGAGGGCTTCTGTTAATTCTGGAAACCCAGACATTGATTTTACTGGCTGTGTAAGGGAGAGGAGATAAGGTGTTGGAACTGAGATATCCACCAAAGCCAAATTACTTGAATGGGTTATACTTTTAATGACAAGAGAGGCTGAAAAAAAAGAAAAATCTGCCTGATGGCAAACGGCAGAATAGCCATATGCCTTTTTAAATTTCAGTTCCAGGTGAAGGTAAAGTATCCCTCCTTTGAGAATTTATAATAACAGCCCTGCTCTCCTGCAGGTCTGAGGTTTGAGTTTGCCTACCTGTAAGTCTAGGAAATGATAAGCTAAGAAAAATTTGAAGTAGTCCTGGATTATTGGGCCCTGGGTACTTGGCAAAAGCAAATACTATTCTCGTCTTGAGGAGAAGAGGGAAGGCCTGCAGGAATACAACCCAGGCCTCCCAATATTCCTGGCAATTAAGATTAATCAAATATAAACTCATAATCTAAAATTACAAAACACAAGGCATTAAGCCACGAGAAATAAACCAAGAGTGCTAACAAATAGCATTTGATCTTTAAAGACTTTAGTTAGATATTGGTATTATTATATATAGAATATAAAATAACTATGACACATATATAAAGATATCAAATTATAATGCTGTACCCAGTTACCTGAGAAAACATTTACAGAGACTGACATCTGAGGATCCCCAGTTAAAAAATTATCTGGCTTCACTGATTACCCTACAGTTATCAATGAACTGAGAAGCCTACTCACGTATACAGAACTTACCCTATCAGGCTTATGTAGCTCACTCTTATAAATATAATTCACAGTGAAACCAACATTTAAGAAGAGCTTCCAAGAACACAAACAGAAACAAATTCAAAGGCAATATAGAAAATGTAGACAAGATAAGGAAAATCAAAGGCACTATAATACTACTTTAGAATGATATTACAGACATGAAATAAGAATGAGAGAATAAAAGCCCTGGCTGGTATAGCTCAGTGGATTGAGCGCGGGCCTGCAAACCACACGTTTGCGGTTTGATTCCCAGTCAGGGCACATGCCTGGGTTGCAGGCCAGTTCCCGGCAGGGGACTCACGAGAGGCAACCATACATTGATGTTTCTCTCCTCCTCTCCTTCCCTTCCTTTCTAAAGATAAATAAAAATTTTAAAAATCTCTAATTAAAAAAAAAAGAATTAGAGAATAAGTAAAAGCTCACAGAAATAAAAAATAACTGAAAGAAAAGTGTTGAAAGAAAAATGAAGGCAATCTCTCAGAAGACAGAATGAAGAGGTAAAGATGAGTAAGAAGGGAAACTCAACAACTAAAGAATCACACTACCAATAATAGAAAAATGAGAAATCTGTGGCTGAAAAGATAGGGAATACCCAACATAAATACACACCAAGATACATTATTGTGAAATTTCAAAACATCAGGGATAAAAAAGATTTTATATGTTTACAAAGAGGAATAAAAAAATAAAGGATCAGACTGGCATCAGATTTCTCAAAAGTAACACTGGAAACTAGTGAATAATGGAGAAATGCCTTCAAAATTCTAACTGAAAATGAGGAATAGTTTAACTATTCCTCAACCTTATGGTAAAATAAAGATACGAGATTTGTCAAGTTTCCAAACAGTTACTGATTGTGCAGTCTTCCTCAGGAACCTCTGGGGGTACATTCCACCAAACAGAGAATTAGGAAAGGGGAAGACCGGGGCCCAGGGGAGGAGTGAATGGACATCCCAGGGTAGCAGAGAGGGCGGCCCAAGGGCGAAAACTGCCTGCACCTTATGCCTGGAGAGCGAACAGTCCCTGTTGGAAGAGGCAGAAGGAAGGCTCTATGAAGGATGGTTCCAAGAAATAAAAGCAAAATTTTATTTTATTGTACAATTTTATCAAGTGACATTTTACAGAGGGGTTGCGACTCAGCCTACAAGTCAAAATGAAGTAAATGGGGAAAAATATGACAATTATTAGCTCCAGCACCCCCCCCCAAAGCTGTTTAAGACAGGATATGTGATTACAGTACACGGTTTGACTAAATAAAGTGAAAAAGGGAACATGAGAAACAAAGTGCATGAAAGCCATTGTACACAAAAGGAGAAAAAGCAGAAGGAACGTGCATGTATTTTTTACCTTCTGTCACACATGTCCTTATACAGTAAGGGCTGGGCTAAGTCCCCTTCAGGTAGACAGCTCAGAACCCCAGTGGATTAATTATCTGGAAGAGCAAAGTCTTGAATGCTTCTCCCTGGACTGAGTCTGGTTCGTTCTAAAGGGGTTCTGAAGCCCATGAAAAACTGACTACACAATCAGGTTATAAATGGATATTAAGGCAACTTACTTATCACCATCTTAAGGCATTCAGGATTGTCTTGAATAAGTGGTTCAGCTTGTACCGTTTTACTTAAGAAATTCTTTGATATAAGAGGAAACCTGACTTTAGCAAGGATATCAACCATAAATGGCTGGCGATTAGGTTCATCGTATTTCAACCACCTGACTGCAGCATCATAAACCTAAGGGGGGAAAAACAGCACAGTAAAGTTCTCAGATGGCAGGCACATTTCCGGTTACCTAGATGTAGTCTCACATTGAAGGGGCAGAATCTCATAACCCCTGATTCCCCATATTTTATCCAGATATTTGCTTTCATCCCCAAAACTTGCCTATATTTCAGAACACACTCTCCACACTGCTCAGTGATTCTTTTAGATTAATGTGTTTCTTTTAAGAGTTAATTATTGCTACATAATGTAGTGACAGGAAGAATGTTGAATTTATAATTTTAAAAACAAATTATCACTTCCTTTTTGGAAGGAGATAGGCACATTTCTGCTGAAAAAAAAATCTACTGGTCAATTACAGTTACAGTTTCCTGGGAACAGGAAACAGGTGAACTTCCTAAGAGGCCTTCCCTCCCAAAAGATGTGATGTTCTCACATCATGAACTGACAGACTTATCAGCTTTCCAGAAACTTTATAATATACAAATTCTGTATTTAAAAAATAAATCACAATTTATATAAGAATTGTTTTCCAAAATAATATTGTGGCATTCATTTAACTATACCAAACAAGTCCAAGTTTGTTAACATAATTTGACTAACAAATCACAGTTTAAACACTGAAAACAAACACTATTATTTCATGTACATACACATCTACCACACAGATGCTTGAGCTAGTTAAATCTGGGTTGGTGTTAATAACACCTAAATTCTGATCTCCCTATGAGTTAGTTAATTTTTATGATCTATTGATCTATTTTTTCAAGTAAACTCTTTCTTTTGGAGTAGTTTTGGATTTACAGAAAAATTACAAAGATAGCACACAGAGTTCCCAATACCTTGCACCTAGTTGTTACAATGGTTACTTTAGTATGATACTCCTGTTACAACTAATGAACCAACATTGATACTTTATTATTAACCAAAGTCGATACTTTTATACCTTTTTTTTGTCCACTGCTTTTTTTCTGTCCCAATCCCATGAAGAATACCCCATTATATTCAGCTATGTCACTTCAGGCTCTTCTAGCCTGTGACAGTTTCTCAGACTTTCCTTATTTCTGATGACTTTGACAATTTGAGTTCTGGTCAGGTATTTTGTAGAATTTCCCACAGTCTGAATTTGTTCGATGTTTTTCTAACAATCCTTGTTTAGACTAGGGTTGTAGATTTGGGGGAGAGAGACCACAGCAGTGACAACTGTTCTTGTTAGATTATAACGAGGGTGCACGCTACCTATCGACCTGACATCACTGGGGGCGTTAACCAGCAGGCAGTGTTTGTCAGGGCTGACCACCTGTAGGTAGTGTCTGTCAGGTTTCTTCAGCCTGAAGTTACTTTTCCTTCCCTTTCCATAGTGCATATAAGTCAGTTAATTGTGACAATAGAACTGAGATTTTTCTTGTTGCCTAGTCAAGTCCTCCTGGTCCAAACTGTGAACCTGCAAACTAATACTTGGGCCATGAAGAAGACTGGACGAAAGAAGACAGCTCAGTGCAAACCTTTTATCTTCAGAACAAAAGTAACTCAAAGCCTATGATCTCACACTTCCTCTACTAGCTTCCTCTGGTGCCACAACAAACCACAAACTTACTGGCTTAAAATACAGAGAGAAGGATGTGGGACCAAAAAGAGGGATTAAGTCAATGTCTGCATATCCAGGTGTTATACCAGCTCACTCCCCAATGCTTCCATCCAGCTTACACCTCTGACAACTTATTTGACAGTTCTGAAGGTCACAATTCAATATGGGTCACACTGGGTTACTGTCAACTGTCAGCAGGGCAGCCTGAAAGCTCTGGAGGAGAAACCATTTCCCTGCCTTTGCCAGCAGCCACTTGCATTTCTTGGCTTGTGGCCCCACCCTCCATCTCCAAAGTCAAGCAACAGCCAGCTAAGTTTTTCTCACATTGCATCACTCTGACACGGACTCTCCTGCCTCCCTCTTCCCCATCATCCAAGGACCCTTGTGGTTACATGGGCCCACCGGGACCATCTCTTCTTCTGAAGATCATTAACATAAGCACATTTCTACAATCTCATCTGCCATGGAAGGTAACCTATTCAGATTCTGGGGATTAGTAGAGACCTTTTGGGGGAGGCCCTGTTCTGCCAGCCATGGCACCCAATAGCTTTACCTCTCCTAAGTGACCCATCTCTCATACAGCCAGTCCATACAAGCACCCAAGACTTAATTTTCTTATTACACAGACTTTGGAACACTGTCTAATGTAAAAGAAAACACATTCTTTCCTAATAAGATTCTTTCTCTTGTCATGTATCCCACCGCAAAGCATAAGAAATCAATAACAACATTCTTACTAAGAAAAATGTGAGAAGGCAATGTAGTCACCTGGTCTTCTGCTCTTACAGTCAGAGTGTCCTGGTTGAGGAGATGTGTCACTCGCTTGACATCGAGTTGTAGAAATTCGTCAGTTTTGTAAACTTCAGTAAAATGCTGATGGATAAAGTCATCTGCAGTGGCTTTCAGTTCAGGGCAGTCCAGACACTCTGCTAGCACACTTATTCCTGGACAGGAGACGAAAATGGGGAGAGAGTCACTTTTCAGAAAACCAAACAGGCATCGAAGATAAAACATGACTCCAGGGGACCTGCACGAATAGCCTCAGTCTGGATTCCCTTTTGCTCCGAAGACTTGTCTTTTCTTCACACCACCTGATGTATGGCTGATTTTGATCGTTTGTAGAACAAGACCCCTTCAGTGTCTTTTCCAACTTTTCTTGGCTACTGTTAAACATTTTCTCCTGCATATTAGTTTTAAAGGAAGCTTATCACACCCTACTTTTTAAAATCCTGACATGATTTTAGTTAGGGTCACACTAATTTTTAGATAACGTTGGGGGCAGGTGACCGTTCAGCAGTCTGGAGGAGCTCCACCTGGACACGCGGCAGACCTCGCACTTACTCAGATTTCGTGACTGTCTGTAATTACGAAATTTTCTTCACAGAAACCCTATATACTTCCCCTTCAGCCTCTTCCTAGCTGTTTTAATTTTTGTTTGGGAGAGAAGTTAATTGATTATTAATGTCACATTATCTGGAGTCTGCAAAGTACTTATTGTCCATGAGTCAGCAGCTAAGACTATTTGTTTATATTTTTAAAGTGTAAAAAAAAAAAAGAACAGGTGAGAAGGAGGAAGAAGAGGCAGAGGAGAGTGGGAGGGAGTAGGAGAAGGATGACCAGGAGAGTGACAAGGCCTAAAATACTGTCTCACCCTTTACAGAAAAAGTTTGCCACCCTCTCTCCTAAATAAAAGCATCGACTATTGTATGTGATCTCGCTTCCAAGTCATGAGATAAATTCAGTTCATTATCTTGATTTTCCATGTTTCAACTTTTTCATATTATCTTCAGGTAGAGTTTTGAAGCTTTCATATTTATACCATAAAGGTGCTCATAATCAAGGCCCGCTAATGAACTTGTCATCTCAGCTGCCATTTTTAAATGTACTGACGGAAGCTGGGCATGGGAGATTTTCATGGTGAGTAGCCACCTACGTATATACTTTTGCTCCCATCAGGGAGATGACATTTCCACCAAGAACCAGTATTTGTTTACTGACAAGTTTTTGGCAGTTGAATTTGTTGCAGATATGCAATGTCATTAAATATTATACAGCTCAATAAAATAGGAATGTGAAAAGTAGTTGTTTCTATAAAAACTAATCTTAAGGTTTATTAAAGACAGATTTTTAAAAAGCTCAAATTAGGTGTGACCAATACATCAGACAAGATCTGGAAAACACTGTAAAGTTCTGGAGGGACTGTGTACTCAGAGTCGCATTAAATCACTGCCTTTCTTATTCCTTCTAAAATTCCTGCTTCACATTAGTACCCCTGTGTCTTCTTTCCACGTCATTTCTCTTTTCCCTAAGTTTCCATTGCTTTGCATGTTTGTTTTGTATCATGAAACAATTTCCTGTTTGATCTTTATTTTGACTTTCACGAATTCCATCTTATGTTTTAATTCAATTGAATTGCATGAAAAATCATGTTTTCCCCCTTCAAATGGACCCTTTCTATTTTGAGTTCTCTTCCATTTCTTACATTAAATTTGACTACAGGAGCCATTCATTTTGGCTGTTTAGCTAGAGTTCCTGTCCCTCAAACGACTGAGTTTCCTTTAATTTCATACATATGACCTTTGTCTAATTCTATCGGCTGTCATGGATTCCTTTAACTCTCATAGAAGTCAGATTGTTGAGGTCTGAAGTTGACAAGTGATGAAACATAAGAGAGGCGTTCTCCAGGAAGCTCTCAGGGAGAGCTCAGGGCTAAGAGAAAGCGGGCTGGAGCACTTCCTGGGCACTCGTTGGCTGGGCCCCTGTCTTTGCCCCAGGCTTAGCCAGATTATCAGGCTTCCTTCTAGCTTGCCAAGCTGCCCTTCCTCCCAGTGTCTTAATCAATGACAAAGGAAGGCATCCAGAGGTAAAACTCCTAAATGGTCTCCTCAAAGCCCAAGCCTTAAAAAGTAGTTAGCACAGACAATTCCTTGGGGTACCACGCTGTGCTTTGTACTGCCACATTGACTCCTCTGTTCCCGTTCAGCCGCCCTAGTATGAAATTTAGAGTGCTAGAGAGAGTTAGGGAGACATACTTTAAGCCATCATCTTCCAAAAGCTTCTTTAAAATCCCTTTTTGTAATAAATTTTCGAGCATATGTATTTCTATAAGGGGAAATAAATCTTAGGACTGTAAATCTTATTCATGAATGGAGCCCCAAGTTATGGCCCAGAGAGATAGAGGGATTCATCCCAGAGTGTCGCTGTCAGGAATGAAGGCTGGTCTTTTATTTCCTAAAATGGGGGTCCTTTTACTATGTAAACCAATGGCCACCTTTAAAAAAATTTCATTAGCATATTCACCTGCACAGCTATTTCCCCTTCTGCTCCATCTGGTCCAGTTTTTTTCTGGATATAGCAACAATCTCATTCTCAGCCCTTTGCCTATTATTTTCCCTCTCTAAAATTCATTCCACTTTCATTCTTCCTGCCTTCTAAGATCTTTTTCTCTACACTCATAGCGGAGGTGTGTGCCAGATGGAGTAATGAAACGGTCCAGGAGGGGGGCCTAGACAAGGGGGAACTGACAAGGCCTGCAAAACCTCTCACGCATCTCCAGGAGCCCCCTGCCCCAGCCTTTGGCTTCAGGACATCAGCACCCCTCGTCTTCCCCTGTGGTCAGAAACCTTTGCACTGGCTGGGTTCTGAGGCCTCCCTCTGTACTTTCTCTCCCCTTTCTGCCTGTCCTGGCACTCCTACACTGATCCTTTTCCCCTCTGAATCACAGAGAGGGCAGGAAAACATAATTACAGAGATCTGGGTGTTCATTCATGTGCTGCTAAGCTTGATCTCACAGTGGAGAGCACACCACAACACACTCTGGCAAACTATCATCAACTTTCTCTGCTTCTCCTGGTATCAAGTACAAAATATTTTCTTTTTTGTTGAATTTATTGGGATGACTTTGGTTAATCACATTACATAAGTTTCAGGTATACGATTTCTGTGTTCACCACCCCAAGTCGCATCTCCTTCCATCACCATTTATTTCCCTTCACCCTCTTCTACCTCCCCCCACCTCCCTTCCCCTGTGGTAATCATCATTCTGTTGTCTGTCTGTGAGGCTTTTTTTCCCAATCCCTTCACCTTTTTCACCCAGTCCTGTAAGTCCCCTCCCTTCCGACAGCTGTCAGTCTTTTCTCTATTTTGTTAGTTTATTTTGTTCATTAGATTTGACATATGAGTGAAATCATATGGTACTTGTCTTTCTCTGACTGGCTTATTTCACTTATTATAGTGCTCTCCAAGTCCCTTCATGCTGTCACAAAGGGTAACATTTTCTTTCTTTTTTTTTTTTTTTATGGCCAAGTGGTATTTCATTGTGTAATTGTACTACAGCTTTCTCACGTACTCATATACTGATGGACAGCTGGGTTGCCTCCAAATCTCGGCTACTGTAAATAATGCTGCAATGAACACAGCAGCACATATATTCTTTTGAATTAGTGTTTCAGTTTTCTTTGGATATAGTCCCAGAAATGGAATTGCTGGGTCATACGGTAGTTAGTTCCATTTTTAATTTTTTGAGGTAACTGCACACTGCTTTCCAGTGGCTGCACCAAGCTGCATTCCCACCAACAGTGCACAAGAATTCCGTTTTCTGCACAGCTTTGCCAACACTGGTTGTTTGACAGTGTGGAGAGGACGCACAGTGTCTCAGGCGAGAATAAGATTACTTAAATTCCAACCCCAGCTCTTCCACATACTAGCTATGTGACCTCAGCACATTACATAACTTCAGATTCCTCGTCTGTGACAAAGCACAGGAATCATGAGGGCTTCAACGAAGGTAAACACTCTCTTATATGTAATCATCTACCACACACCTCCACCAGATGCAACCCTTACTCCTTGTCTGGATAAACAAAAACTCATTATTAAAGCTATTTTATATTTTGGAAAACACCAATACAGTATTTAACATAACAGGCTCAGGCTGCCTAAGTAATATGCACTTCCTTGAGCTCTTCTTAAAATGCACGACTAGAAACATTTCTGCTGAACAATGTCTTTAAAATTAAATGAGGACACTTATAACCACACTTTTTTTCTTCACTAAAATACACAATAAATTTTTAAAAAACCAGAAATCTGACTTCTTACCAAGACAATTTGAAGCATCAACTTGTTCTTTCAAAAAATCAACACACATTTTCTTCACAGGTTCAATCTGGTACTGGTTTGCTGCATCTAATAAAGACTGAACGTTGTTGCTATTCACAGAAATTCTGTAAATAAGTTAAAGTGAACATTAATTTCCTACAACTTTCTATTTAAACAATGCTACTGTAGAATGCATTCCACTAGTCCCTGAAATTAAGCAAGGGGTTACACTTTTCAGTCCTTGAATTAGTATGGCAAAGGATTTCTCCCCACCCTTCGGCCCCCAATCCTTAAAAGTTTTTCATTCTGAAGAATCTGGAACACATCGATTTGTGTTCAGGATCTCAACCTTACCCCTCCACAATAGAAATGGTCCTTCTACACTTACCTAGCAGTATAAGCAAATTCCACAAGTTGTTCAATAATGTCAGGTTCAGCATCTTTGAGTTCTACCTCAAAGGACTTCGACTCGAGCATGTTAGCTGCAATGGAGAGAAAAAACATGAACGGCATTGAGCACGGCCACTGAGGAGCCAGGCCAGGCCAGGCTCAGTGTGGGGAACAAGACAGAGACTTCACTGGAAAATACCTGACAAAGCCCAAAATCCCTATAGTATTGATAAAACGCAAAGTAATTCTCCATACTTGAGATACGCCTTAAATTAAAACCATCTAAGAAATTAGTGAATTAGTGTTCTTATTTAAAAAAGCCCAAGTGAACAGAGACCTAAAACTGGAGTTACTATTTTCCCAACTCCTAAAATAATTTAGGGGCACTCTTTTAAATTGCTGTGAGCAAAATGCCTCTGATGCAGCTAGAATAAACCTATGAGAACCACGACCATTCTGTATAGTCAGCCATAACCAGCAAAGCTCCCGTTCTTTCCCCAAACCCTGGCAGGTGGCCAGAGCATCAAAGAGGACACTTGAGGCAGATTATTTCACAGCCTGATCACGCTCATTTTAAAGCAGGACTCAGCAGAGGCACTGGGACTGGGCCCCAGTTCTCAACTCCAAATCTAGGGTTCTTTCCAATATGATACGTCCCATATTTCATTTCTCATTTTTATTTAGTTTAACTTGTTAGATAAAATGTCATATGGCTTTACCATAAGGTTTTACTGTGGGCCAACTACAGGCCCAAGGTTTACCTATTCCTTAGCCTGTCCACCTGAGGTTAAGAAGAAAACTCTAGGCATTCAAGTAGAAGCTCTATATCCATCAGTAAAGCCCTTGGGCCTTTCCAGCTAATGAAAGGACATGTTTCCTTTGATTCATCATCACCATGACCACTTATCAACCTCTTCATCGTCTTTTCTTTAGTCCTTTAAAAATCAGGGTAAATGGCATATTTTCATCTTGACTCATTTCGTTCTCAAAAAATAAGTATGTTTGACCTTAAAATACTTACTTGTGAACATTAAGTTAAAAAAATGACTGGCTGCAGCAAGAACAACACGATGAGCAGGTATTTTCCTTTCCTGCACCATAAGGATCACATCACACAACGTTTTCTAATCAAGAGAGAGATAAATAAAATCAAAAGTGGCTCATTGGGCCTAGTTTAGCAAACACATAAAACAGGTGCTTGTCAAATGCTTTATCTCTATTTTCCATTTAAATCCATGCCCTGGCCTGGTATGCCTCAGTGGTCTGAGCATCGGCCTGCGAACCAGAGGGTCACAGGTTCAATTCCCAGCTGGGGCACATGGCTGGACTGTGGGCCAGGTCCATCATATGTGGTGTGCGAGAGGCAACCACACATTGATGTTTCTCTCCCTCTTTTTCCTCCCTTCCCCTCTGTCTAGAAATAAATAAAATCTTTTAAATTGTCTTTTTCTACAGAATTTGTTTATAATGCAAGGCCATTTAGGAAGGACTTGCTGTCATGAGTCTGCTGTATCAAAATTGGGCAGTGAGCTTCCCAACAGTCAGGAAAACCTTTATCATCGGGAAAGAAGTAGTCCACTACCTTTTAGGAAAGGATTCCCCCCCCCCCACACACACACAAGTTCTAAGCTATTTATCATAGGGAGAGTTTTGTGGGGACAGTAAATGACATAATGAGAACGTCCTCGATGGTTTTTTGCACACAACAGTCTGTTTTTTTACAATGACCTGCTAAAGTGCAGAGTACTCACTGCACTCCTCCAGGGAGTAGCCTTCACAGACCTGACTTGAAATATAAACAACTCAGAATACACAGAACCGGATGAGCCAAATGTCCATTCAGCACTCTTTCCTTAAATAACGCTTCTCTCAAATGTACTTCTGATAAGGGCTATCGGTCACTTTTAAATTATGATTTCTGACCAAGGTCAAAATGGTGTCATTCTCAGTTGCTAAAATAAGACAAATGTAGATTAAATACGTAAAATGTTGGAAAAAGGGAATGTTAAAGAAAAAATGTATGGTTTACTAGAACCATTAGAGATGAATTTCAAGGAAACAACTGTTCTTTCTGCAAAATAAAATTTAAATATCTTAATGAAGTTATAATTGTACAGGTAAGGCTCAGAGAAAATTTACAGCCTGAGATACACTCTTTTAGGTACTGGGAATATGAGACATAATTTTTTCAGAGTAAAAAACTTTCAAAACTTTTTTTCAGAGTAAAAAAAATATCACCTACAAATCTAAATAATGACTTGGTAACTCAGAGGATAGAGCATTTTGCATTTTTAAAATATTTTGCTGAAACTATTAATCTAGTTTCTGAGAGATAAATCACTGATAGCTCCTATTCTATTACTCCATAAACAAACCCAAATAAGATGGTAATGCTTAGACCAAGAAAGGAAATGAGCCCCCAAAAGCAGGCTATACGATGAACAGGATTTCATTTTTATGGCTTATCTGAAAGGGTTTTTTATTATGTGGCCTGTAAAATATTGCTTGGAAATTATATGCAGATTACTTAAAGTTATTGTTATTTCAATAATGTCTTGAATGTTAAAATTTTTATTTCCTTTTATTTGGGGAGGGGGTTCAGGGTAGGCAAAGCTCTTAGGTGATTTTGCCACATAGCACATCAAACAAAAACAAAAAACCAGGTAGTAAAAACCAAACCAACTGTTTGATTGCCACCAAAACAAGCTGATCAAATGGCTTAAGAGAAGAAAAGAAAGGGAGAAGCGAAGGAAGAAAGGAAAGGAACGGGAAAAGGAAAAGATAATGTAATTACCTTATTATTTTTTAAAGGAAAAGAATATTGATAGAATGGCAAGCAAATCAGATAGGGCAGGGATCCGAGGCTGCTAATGGCAAGTTGCAGAAAATGTAGGGAGAACTAAACTGAAATGTAGCAAAGAACCTTTCCTAGGCACACCCTGCAACAGGGAGCTCCAGTGGAGGGAATTTATAGGCACTGGAGGAAATTAGAGAAGTCAGAGGGATCTTTTTAGAGCCATTTAGTCTTCATCTAAGATTAATCTCTAGCTGAATATTAATGTGTTGGGGGGAGGTATGAAAGGGGAGGAATCTTCTGTATTCAAACAGAACATTTATGTGACTGTTCTATAACAGACTGACAGGTTTCAACAAGAAATGGGACTGACCTATAGAGAGGTCCCTCCTTCTGTCAGTCATCTGGGGAAGCAGGTGTATCCATAGACAGGAAATGGGAAGAGCAAGAGGCTCAGGTAAATGGAGAATGTGAGAGATAACAAGTCCTAGGTGGATGGAAGAGAACTGAACAAAAAAACTACCTGTTGACAATACATGTTCACTGGATAAACCAAGAAAAATAACACTTGCAATTTCTCTGTGTCCCCCACAATATAGTTCTATCTTTGTATTAATTTCAGCTTTTGAATCTTAAGTCTCTTATAAACAGCACAGATTTTCTTGTGACTCAGTCTCCAAGTTCTCACCATCTAAAATTATTTTCAGTAGGGTTTAGTTTAATCCTTCATATTTATTACTGATAACTTACGTTTTACCTTACAAACGAACCTTCTTTTTTGCTATTTATTATACTTCCTTGCTGTTTTCTTTTTTCTTTAACTGACACTTGCTGTTTTGGTCCCATTTCCTTTGCACTTTTTTCTTCCTTTAGGGACTTACTTATAGATATGCCAAATATTTGCAAACTGAATTCAACAGGGTATTAGTCAAATACTGTTCTAGGAATGCAAGGCACATTCCAAAAAACAATTCTATTAATGTGACTAATCATATTGTCAGATTAAAAGAGAAAAACATCATGTAGGGAAACTTCAATAGATAGAAAAGGCATGTTGGATAAAATTAAAAATTCATTTCCTGAGGTTCTTTAATAAAGAAAATGATGTGTCTGTGTTAGAGTCAAGGAGGAAATAAGTTGTTTGTGCTAAGCTGTTTGCTCACTCAGGCCTGAGTAGAAACCGCACCCACCCCCAGGCAGGTGTTCCAGAGAGTTAGGAATTGGTCAAAACGTAGAGAGGGCTTCCATGTGTCAGGAGTTGTTGTTAAGTGCTTCACACCTGAGCTCGTTTATCGCTAACTGCCACCTTTGCTTCTGGAAACCCGCTTGCTTGCCCGCTTCTATAAAACCCTAGCCTGTAAGCGATAGGCGCGACTCTCATTTGCAGCCATTTTGGCACCGTGTCTCCGGACACCCCGAGAGTTCACCCCTGCGCAGGTAAAACTTTGAAACTTTGGCCAATAAAACACCTTTGACTGCCCGACCGTCTCCGACCCTTCTTGCTTGTGAGAGCGGAATGTAACATCTGTATAGCAAAGGCCATTCATCAGAAATCAACAGCAAACATGACATTTAATGGTGAAACAGGACAGGCATTCTCATTCAATTTGAAACAAGCAGGAATTTAGTATATGATAAAGATACCGTTTCAAAAATGCGGTGAGAGGGCGGAGCACAGACAAAGTTTAGGGCAGTGAAACTATTTGTATAATACTGTGACAGTGGATACATGTCGTTATACATTCATCAAAAGTCACAGAATGTACAACAGAAAGAGTGAACCCGAATGTAACAATGTTGGCTCATCAACACTAACAAATGCACTCTACTAATGCAAGATGTTAATAACAGGGGAGACTGTGGGGATGGGGCAACTGGAAAGCTTGTACCTTTCACTCAGTTTTCTGAAAATCTAAAACTGCTGTAAAAAAAAGCCTAGTCTATTAATTTAAAAATGTAGTGAGAGATCAGATAATTGAAAAAATGGTAGTGGGAGGGCACTTTTACTGGAAACATTAGATTTTTGGCTCTCAATGCATTCCTTCCTTCTCTGGGGAAGGTAAGCACTGGGTAGGAAGTTGCAGCAGTTCTTTTCACAGCCTGTCACTTGTGACATCCTGTAGAAGAGTGACTACAGGGTGGACAGGAGCAGGGCAGTGGTCACACAGAGCTAGACCTTCTGACTCTCCCTTCCTCCATAAACCTGCCCCGAAAGTGGAACATTACTTCTTGGGGCAGACTTGCTCCTGAGACAGGAGAGGACTGCGCCCATTACTCAAGGTGCTCTGCCTCAGACCGGTGGGTACACTGAGTTCACGGGAGAAAGAAGAGGGAGCCCAATTTTATGCTCAGGTCAAGGCCATGTTCTCCAGTCTATCACCATTAATTTAGCCATCTTCTGTGTCTACTTCTCAAATGTTTAGAACCATCAGTGGAAGAGGTTTCTCAAATCCATACGCAGAGATAATCAAAGCACCATGGAGGGGGACAGAAATTTTGGTGTTGCTTTGGTGCTTTCAAGTGTTAGAAGCTTTTGCGGAAAGAGATCCTTTGTCAGGAAAGATGTTAAGACAGGCAAGCATTTTAGGCATGTGTTGGTGGATGACCTTTTGCTCTCTTTGTGAGTTTGTCGGAAAGAATCGCAAAAGGCAGCTAGGTTCCATGTAGGCTCCGCAGCACTGTACGAGGTTCTAGCTTTTAACACTATGTGCTGGCATGAGGTGGAGGCATGCAATCAGCTGTCCCAAGTGCTACTCTTCAGTGTATCCCAAGGAGAGGACTGAGGAATGACTAGCCTTCCGATTTATGTCGCTTGTCAACAGGTTCTGCAATCAGTCCCTCCCAGTGAAATTTCAAGTTGGCCCTGAGCCTAAACACCTGAGCAGACTGTAGATTCACCTACAGTTGGGTGGTGGATTTGAATCGCTGAAACAAATAAAGGAAATGGAGCCCCTATTTTTATGGGGGCAAATCATCTTCTTGACTGGATGGACATACTAGAAAAGCCTCGACAAAGCCACAATAAACTGAAAGGCTAAGAGAAATATTTAAAGAGCCTCTTTAAGAATCATGTTTATTCAGAAAAGCAAAATAAACAGCACTGGATTTATACATACATACTATCACATAAAGGCAAGTGGGAGAGTGAAAGAAAAACAAAGGAAGACGCCTATATTAGTAGAGGAAAAAGGGGATTTCCTTTTTTAAGGGAAACATGGGATAAATTAGGCCAAACAGCTTTGAAGGGAAAGGAGATACGCTTTGGTGTAACTGCTCTTTAATCATGGAATTAGGAAAGAGTTATTTTTGTTATTTATTCAAGAAAGGTGA